ATCTATATGTGTCTTTATATTTAAAGTGGGTTTTGTTTTTGATTCACCCTCATAATCTGTCTTTTAATTGGTGCATTTATGCCACTGACTTTCAGAGTGCTTACTGATAGAGTTACTACTATATCAGGTGGCTTCTGGGGCTTCTGGGGCCGGCCAGCGACCCGGGATCGGATCCGATCATGGGCGGCAGGCAGGTGGCTTCTGGGGCTTCAGCCCAGGATCGGATCCGATCACGGGCGACAGGGAGGCGGCTTCTGGGGTCGCACATGGGGGCCTGGATGGCGGCTCGCGCTGGCGGCTCGCATTGTCCCGCCCTGCCTGCAATATGCAAATTAGCTGCAATTTTTCTGGCGGTTAATTTGCATACCACGCTGATTAGCCATGGGAGGCATAGTGAAGGTATGGTCAATTACCATGTTTGTCTATTATTAGGTAGGATACTATTACAGATGTCCCCATTTTTCCCCCTTTTGCCTACCTCCACCCAGTCCCTCTACCCCTCCCCCCATTTTCCTCTGGCCATTACCACACTGTTATGTTGTCTGTTTATATGGGTTATGCATATATATTCTTTGGCTAATCCCATCTACTTGTTTCTCTTTACGTCTGTTCCATTGTCTCCACAACAGGTGTCCACTGTCCTAGAATATATATTCATCATTTTCTTAAATAAGTTTTATCATATAACTATGTTGTGCTAGGTTTTGCTCTGAATAAGAATGGCATTGTACTGTGTGTGTCTTCTGTGAGTGAATTTTTTTCACTCAGTATTAAGTTTTATAATGAGAGTCTATGTTGCTTGCTATATGTGGTTTTTATTTCGGTATAATATTCCACTCTGTAAATGTTCTAAATTACCATAATTTCTGAATAAATTTTTCTGTTGATGGACATTTGTGTTGCTTCTAGTTTTTCATTATTATAAATAATGCTGCTGAAATAGTCTTATGTTTATATGCCTCCTAGTATGCAAGTAGTGTTTCTAGGGCAGTAGTTCCCAAGTAGATTACTGTGCTTGAAGGGAACATTTGGTAATATGTGCGTGTGTTTTAATTAATTGTCAAATGATTAACAGTCAGCCTTATCAAGGATGTAAGCTAAGCTATGCGGTGGTAACAAAACCCCCCACATCTCAGTGACTTATCATAGCAGTTATTTCTCACTCACACCATATGTCCATTGTGGATTGGTGGGGATTTCTTTTTTTTTTTACATAATTGTATAGGGACCCAGCCTGATGGAGGCTCTGCTCTCTTATAACATTTAGAACATGAGGCCTTCCTTTGTTGCTTAGGCAGGGAAAGGGGTAACTGAAGGGTCATTAACCAGCTCATGTATATTTGGCTGCAAAAGTGACACATGCCACTTCTGTCCACATCTCATTTGCCAGAACTAGTCACATGACTCCACCTTAATTGCAAAGGTCTGGGAAATGGAGAAATAGATGAGTATATGGTTAATATCAATATCTTAGCTATAAGGGTACTCTATTGGCACATACAGGGCAGGGACTTAGTAAAATGTCAGGCAAAGTATTAGTCCTTCACAATGTACAATGAAGAACTGCTCAATCCATAATTCCTATAGGTTACTATAATTTAGCAAAGTGGCTGGATATAAGACAAAACTAAAAAATAAACTGGTTACTATAGGAATTTTGACCTCCTTTCTTGAGAAATATTGCTCTTGGACACATACTTAGTGCAGTTATTGGGATAAAGAGCATATGTATATTTACTATAACAAAGTGATGGCAAATTATTTTTCATAGTTATTGTGCCATTTTACACTCACCTCATTGTACAAGTGTTCTCGTTTCTCTATAGCTTCACCAAACTTCACTGAGGTATAATTAACATACAATAAATGCACATTTTGATAACCATTTTATAATTGTATACTCCCACGATTGCAATTTGATAGCTATGTACAGCCGTCACCACAATCAAGATAGTGATCATATCACCTCCAAAAGTTTTCTTGTGTTCCTTTTCACCCCTTCCCTTCTACCTTTTTCCTCTCACTTCTCCCCATCCCCAAGAACCACTGGCCTGATTTCTGTCAATATGGATTAGTTTAAATGTTATAAAAAAATTTTTTTTCTGTAGTGTTTAGAAATACAGTTTGTTTTTTAGTGTTGTCTTATATCGTGCCACCTTGCTACATTTTCTTATTTGTTCTAATATGATGTTTATAGATTCTTTGGAGTTTACTATGTAGCTAGTAATGGCATATCTAAATAATGACAATTTTATTTCTTCCTTAATACATTTCTTTGTCTTATTGTAATGGCCAAAACTCTAGTGTGGTATTGAAAAGAAGCAGTAGATACTTGTCTAATCAATGATTTTAAAGAGATTGATATTAACATTGAAGTTTGCCTTAGATGTTTAGGACAGAGTTTAGGTTAGTAGGACTTAGATAAATACCCTTTGTCAGCTCAAGGGAATTATTTGTGTTCTTAGTTTGCTAAGAGTTTTTATTATGAATGATGACTGGTTAGTGAATGTTATCACATGCTTTTTTTTCTGCAACTGTGGGCATATTCATAGGATGTTCTTTTTTAATCTATTCATGTGATTAATAATTCTATAGTTCCAATAATAATGCTAAAACATCTTTCCTTTCTTGAGCTAATTCTAACTTGTTCTTGATTTCTTTTCTATATTACTGAATTCTGATGCAATATTTTGTTTGAGATAAGTGTTCATGACTGAGATTGGCTTGTAATTTTTTCCCTTCTTTTATGTCCTGATCTGTTTTTTGTTATAGTGGCCTTATTAGAATAGGTTGGGGTTTCTTCATTTTTTGTTTGGTGGATGAGTTTGCACAAGTTGGGAATGATCTGTTTCTTATAACTTTGGTACAACTCAACTATAAAACCTGGTATTTTGAGAGTTTTAAAAAATTTTAAGTTTACATGGTGACAGATGGTTACTAGCATTAGTGGGGTGATCACATTGTAAGGTATAAAAATTCCAATCACTATATCGTACATATGAAATGAATGTAACTAATGTAAGATTGCATATAAACTGTACTTAAATAAAAAAATAATTAAAAAATATGCATAATTTAGTGGTGGTAAAACATATTTTTCTAAAAATTTTTCAGAAACTTGCTTATAAGTTTGCTTGGAAATTTGATTTGACTATATCACTGCATTATTAGGAATTTGAAAGTTGTCACGGTAAGGTTTTATTTTAGGTGAATTTCACATTAAATAAAAAAAAAACTTAACATGCCTGAAAAGTTATAATTCAGGGTAATATAAAAGGTTGTAATTCAGAGTAAAAAGGTTGTAGTTCAGAGTAATATAAAAGTTCTTTAAGTAAAAATCCACCCAAAGTAAAAATTCTTAAGTAAAAATCCTTCCAAGAGGAACTAAGAACCCCAACATCCTATTGTGAGAATATAGAAAGATAAGAAAGAGGGAGTCTATTCCAGTTTTAAACAGGAAAAAGAATTTCACTATTGTGGGGAAATCTAATGTAGATAAAACTCCCCTTTTTTTGGCTTACTTGTTACTCAAATTGGTTTATCAGACACGGGTTAAAATAATACAAGAAATATAT